TAAGGCATAAACACACACACACACACACACCTCTAGTATCCTGTCTCCGTTCCGGAGGGTGCCATTATGTGCTGCCGGGCTGTCGGGGCTGATGTGCTTGACGAAGACTCCCCTCATCATCTCTCCGGTGCTCAGTCTCCGGCCCATGCCTCTGCCTCCCATTATGCTGATGCCCAGGGACTGGCCGGGAGCTCGAGTCAGCCGCACGCTGGAACACAGACCGGGGTATTGCAGAGCTGAAAATCCATCTCACAGTACGGGTAAAGGTGGTGATGAATGCACGTCCTCGTGTATGTCTGATGTGGACCTACTTGGTTTGAAACATTACTGCAAAAATGCACAAGAAGGAGGATTAATCCAGTGGGTGTGCTTTTTTTTCTTCTTCTTTTATTGCTTCTTTCAGGCTCTATCCGCTGCTTAGGGCCGCGGATAGACTTTCAAAGATTAAGTCAAAACAATAGAATATTATACCTGCCGGGGAGAGGCACACAAAAGCTGGTCTTTGCATGCAGCGTGGCTTATGGGATTTATCCGAGCGTGACGGGGCCGTAAAACGTGATAAATACGGGTTGTGAGAGTAGTCGGTTTCTCTGGGCCTTAAGAAATATGAGCGTGTTGAGTCCGCGCTGTGCTGCTCTGCCCCTGCTGTGAAACATAACCTGAGCGTGCTGAGATTCTGCTCAGCCTTCTCTGGCAGAGAGAGGATAAAAGGGCATCATGGAATAGAGAAATAAAAAGGGAGAAAATGGAAAAATCTGAATGAAATCTAATGGAGGTTGTTAGTGATTCACTAACCTTCTAGGTTGATCCCAAGAAACTGCGGTGTGAGAGCGAAGCTCCTCCTCTCCGTCCACCTTTACCTCCACCTCCAGCTGTGGTGCTTTCAAGTCTGCACCGGTCGTCTTCTTTTTCTCTCTATCCACAACCTCTCCCTCCTCCTTCTCCTTTTTCTTGGGAGGGAAAGATTTCGGAATCTGCCAACTGATGGTGGAAAAAAAACAACAACAAGCAAACAGAAATAAAATGTGTGATGATTTTGCACACCGTTGTGTCTGCTCAAAATGTCAGAGATTTATTCAGATACGCATTCAATTAATCGATTAATCTATAAGTCAATTGATAGAAAATGCACATTTTGGTATTTGATTAATGCTTTTCTCTGTTTTCTGTCAGTTTGAACTGAAATATGTTTTCCAATAATCCTTAGTAAAAATAATCTGGCAGCCTTCTGGTGGTTGGTAAGCATTCGACTATATGATCAGAACTGCCGTTGACAACAAGGTATCTTGGTGTGCTATGTTATATTTTTTTGACACACTCTGATGCAACGATTAATCGATTAATCAATTAGTTGTCAACTATCGAATTAATCGGCAACTAGTTCAATAATCGATTAATCGGTTTGAAAAAGATTTAAGAATAAATTTACACATTTCCAGCATCTTAAAGTGAGAATATTATGCGGTTTCTTTACTCATCTGTGACGGTAAACTGAATAACTGTGAGTTGTGGACAAAAAGAGACATATGAGGACGTCATCTTGGGATTTGGGAAACACAGATTTTTCACAATTTCTCCCATTTAATAGACCAAAGACTGATCAACTAATCAAGGAAATAATCAACGGATCAATCGACAATGCTATTAATCGTTAGCTGCAGCCCTAGAAACACTGCAACACACGGCAAATAGTGATTTATATATCGGCAGGCCTTGAGATGATACACCGCTTTAGTTGCAAATAGACCTGAAAATACACATTTTCTGCCAACGAGGTCACAGTAAGGTAGTGTCTTTACAGTGTGTGTGTGTGTGTGTGTGTATATATATATAAATAAATAAATGTGTATGACTATCTCTATATATACACACTGTATATATATGTGTGTGTGTGTGTGTGTGTGTGTGTGTGTGTGTGTGTGTGTGTGT